TGTTCGAAAAGACCGTGAACGCTGCCCCTACTCGTCCTAAAATTTTGGAACCGTCAGAGAAAATCTCTCTTTGTAGTCCTGAGGGTGGCCGTTTGTACCAGGGAAGGATGTGTAGATCTCCTGGGTGTAAAACAGGGGGATCTTGGAAGCTTTCTATGCTGACACAGGATATATTTCTTTAGTGTGATAATGTAAATCTTCTTTAGTATGAAGGTCCTCTTTGTAGTGTAGAAGCAGATGAGATAAAAAGCGAGCAATGCTCTCACCAGGAATCGAACCACGGACTTATCGAATATGCGGCGAACGTGTTGACCATTGCACTACGAAGGCATGCTAAGAAGGCGGGAGTACCTTAAATAGTAAACTATATAATTTAATCATAATGGAATCTATATATTTTAATCAGAACATTAGTTATAAGGTATTTCTCCCTCTTTTCTAGCGTGCCTTCGTTGTGTAGTGGTCAGTACACTGAGCCGGTATTTCAGAGGTCCGTGGTTCGATTCTCGGCGAAGGCGCTTGCTAATTTTTCATCTTCCCGGCTTTTCCAATTAACCTAATGTCTCTACAGTGGCGCCCGAACTAAAAAGGATGTTGGATGATGATTCTTCTCACCAAGGATTTGGCGATTGGGTCCCCTAAAGAACCCAGTCGCCTTTTAAAAGGGGAGTATATAAGGTATTTCTCCCGCCTCCTTGGCGTGCCTTCGTGGTGTATTGGTTCAGCCCACTGAGCCGGTATTTCAAAGGTCCGTGGTTCGATTCCCGGCGAAGGCATTGTTAAATTTTTATTTTTCCTGTTTCCAAAAATACCTACTGTCTCTACAAAGTATATAATTAAATCAGAATGGAATATATGTAGAATGTAAATTATATAAACTATTCTAATATTTGTTTGCTGAGATACAATAACACCCCGAAAATTCGCTTTCGCAGCTGAGTTCGGTAAAACCATCGAAACTAGTCCTGTGAAAATTTGAAAATATAACGCTGATTTTTGTTGTTTGACTTAAATTAATACTATTTTACTGGTTATGACAAAAAAGGAAATTTAAAGGATATTTTTGGTAAAAAATTAATTCTAAATATTAGTCTGAATGATGAATTCAAAATAATTCTGAAATTAATATAGTTTCTCAGGATATGCTTAAGGTCTTATTGCTCTGAAGGGTAAAATGAATTTAACAAAATTAATGTAAATTGTCTCTTTAGGGAAAGAATTAACTAACTTTTAAGAAATATTTTGTAAGCATCCTTATTCGAAATTTTTGAAGTAATGATAATGCGAAAAACATTTCATATTACCAAAATAGTACTCAAGCAAGAGACGAAATTTAATTTCAGCCGCAAGGCAGGCAAATTTTACAGTGCATAATGATGTTTAACTTGCGGCTATGAGTCATATCATGGATTCTTACTCTACAGGTGTAGTGGATTTAGCATTACCCAGGGTGCACCACGAGGAGGCCCACTATATTACATCCCAATCTCCATTGGATGGATAGGTGGAGGCCATTAAGTTAGCTTCTCAACAACTGCTTAGTAAATATGAGAGTTTTGATAATACTGTTATTTTGTCAGATTCTATGTCTGCAATACAGGCTATTATCTCTTTGAAACCTACCAGCTCACAAAGTATTCAAGACTGTACATCTAATTTAAGTACATTACAAACTTTACATAAAAAGTTATTTTATAGTGGGTTTCGGCTAACTGTGGAATATTTGGTAAAGAAATGGCTGCCTTTTTAGCTAAGAAAGGAACCAAAATCCTACAGATTCCATCGAATCTTATCCCTTACTCGACTGTAATGCGAGTAATAAAAGAACGCATGGATAATGACTTTCAATTCAGGCAAGCAGAGCAGATTAACGAAAAGTGTTGCAGGGATTCCCTTTTAAAAATACCTACTGCCCCAAGACGAATCGCTGTTGCAGAATTTCGGAGATCTTTTCGTTCTCTAACTTATGTGGAAAAGACACTGTTATGGATGCTTCTCACCTTAAGGAATGCCCTAAGGTTGTAGGGCATTCCTTAAGGTGAGAAGGAACATTAGGATTTTTTTGGAAGTAGAAGAGATGAAAAATTCGCAAACGCCTTCACCGGGAATCGAACCACGGATCTCTGCAATACCAGTTCAGTGTGCAGAACCACTACACCACGAAGGCATGCTAGGAAAGCGGGAGAAATGCCTTATATACTCCCCTTTTTAAAGGGCGACTGGGGTTTTTAGGGGAACCAGTCGCGAAACACTCCAAAACCCTTTTAGTTCGGGTCCACTGTAGAGTATTAGGTAATTGGAAAAGCCGAGAGATGAGAAAAATTAGCACGCCTTCGCCGGAATCGAACACGGACCTCTGAATACCGGCCCAGCGTGCAGAACCACTACACCACGAACGCACGCTAGGAGAAAATACCTTATAAAGTGACTGAGCATTTACACTCGTGTCCATAAATTAAGGATAATTCGGAGTAAGAGCGGAAATCGATCTCTAAAAAAATAAATAATCACTACACACATCTTCAAGAATCGTATGCAAATTTCAGGAAGTAACAGATGACACCGATGGTACGTCACAAATGACCAGAGTGTAAGAGAGTGATATATAAGGAATACAGGCAAAGAAGTAAAATTGTTCGCAGGCGCTTATAAGCATTTCAGTGCAATAACCGAATAGTTATGACACAAAGGACCGCATTTGGCTGATTTTTACGTGGTAGAATTCTCGGCCGTCTGGAATGTGGGCGTACTCAACTGGAAGTATCGACGAACTTGGAATTGCCCAGAGTGTCATCTCCAGGCTTTGGGCAACAATTCCAAGATGATGGTAATGTGAGAGACGTTAAGCACAGGTGCCCCAGAGTTACAACGCCGAATGAGGACCGGTATTGGCAGTTTGCGAAAAGAAACAGGCGGAGCACACCTCATACCGTCTCATCAGCCCTCTTCAGCCACTGGTACGACAATTTCAAGGCAGACCGGTACAGACGCTTAGGGCAGATTGTTTATGTTCGTAGACCTGTCAGATGCGTTCCACTTACTGCACTCACTGTCGCCTGCGGTTAGCCTGAGAAGAGAGCATGTATTGTGGACACCGCAACAGTGGGCTTGTGTGATATTTTTCGACAAGTCCAGGTTCAGCTTGCTATCTGATTCTCGCCGGACGTTCATATGGAGAGCTCCAGGTACCCGTTACCACCAAGAAAACATCATTGAAAGACACCGTTACGTGGTGCAGGAGTGCTCGTTTGGGGTGCAATTATTCTGGGTTCCAGAACTGACCTGCATGTTCAAGTTGGAACCATAACAAGCCAAAGCTATCGGGTAGTCATTCTGGAACAACACGTACGTTTGTTTCGGGGCGCCATGGGCGCACAATTTGTGTTTATGGATGACAACGCCCGTCCTCACCGTGCAAACATCGTAAGCGAATGCCTTCAATCGAAGGATATCACCCGTATGGACTGGCCAGCATTCTCACCGGACAAGAATCAAGTAGAGCACGTGTGGGACATGCTTGGCCGACGAGTTGCAGCCCGTCGACCTCCTCCTACATGTCTACCGGAACTTCGGAGAGCATTGCTTTTCGAGTGGTGTAATATCTCCCAAGGTCAGATCGATAATTGGATACTCAGCATGCCTAGGCGTTGTACGGACTGTATTGCATCGTCTGGAGACATACATGATTAACAATCATACCAACCATGTAATATTGGTTTTTTTGTAAATAGTTTTTTTTTCTTTCTTTTTTTTTTTTTTTTTTTTTTTCTTTTTTTTCTTTTTTTTGTATTTTGCTCAGGGGAAAAAAATCGCTAAATTTTTTAATAATATCAAACATATAGCATCTTTTTTTGTTCTTTACCTTTTGTTTAATAAATAAGCTTTACAAATAAGTCAAATTTGGTTTGCTTCTAACTCTTCCTTTGCCTGATTTTGCATTATCCTTAATTTATGGACATGAGTGTATATCACACATACTGGCAGGCAAGAGAGAGGCGTCAAGACCTTCACACTGTTTGACTTTCCCTTCTGATCAATTTATGTTTCAAATTTTTGCACTTTGTTTTTTTCATGTGTTTGTGTTGAGTGTACTTGTCACACAATAGTCAATGAATTATATGTTCAAATGCTACTTCTAAAAATAAAAAAAAGAGTCATTTCAAGGAAATCCTATTTTAAATTTAATCAGATTCTTTCAGTAAACACATTATGAAAGCTAATTCGTTTCCAGGGTCGACCTTTCTTAAGAGTAAATCACGATTCGAACATGGATGACACAGGCCACGTAATGACACAGGAATGGAAATTGGGAACTCCGAGGATTGTTCTAGTTGTGATGTCCAATGCGGCACCTCTTACTCAGTGGACAAATACACGGCAAATCAAAAGTTTCCAGAAAGGATTAATTAGTGTAAGTATCTGTGTAACTTAAATTATCTTACTTAAGTAATTTTAAGGACCAAAGGAAAGGTCCATTCACAACTAAATTGATAGTTTCACTGAGCATTAACATTTGGATCTCGCTCCCAGTATTACACTCTTTCTCCGGGTTAAATTCAAAGATGTTGTAAGATTTATCCTAAATAACAAGTTATTTGAAATTAATTGGGCTCATACACCTTAAACCCCTCACGATCTTCAGTGACTGTTGCAAGAATTGGGATATTTTATTTATTTTAAAAACACTTACTTCCAACCTTTTACAGCTGACTACATAATATAGCTGCTTTGGGAACTAGCAACCAGAAAGTTTTTGTTGCCACAAATATTTTTGTAATTTAATCCTCTTTGTGACAAAATATTTCGCCATGTTTCCACCTTGCGCGCACGATATTTTAAAAATGGCTAATGGTAGATACTTGAAATATGATGGAATTCTTTATATGGGAGCTATTTTTTAACTGAACCCAAAAATATATATGATAAAATATGATGAATAAATATAAATATTATTAAATATGAGAATATTTTAATACTGAAATATTTTAATATATGAATGAATAAATATTTAATATATGATGAATATTTTAATACTTAAATATGATGAATTTTAATACTGAAAAATTTTATGGACGAAAGCATTACAAATGTTTTAATAAAATACATTTTATAACTCAACTCAAATAAAATAAATTTTAACAAGAAATTTTAGAATTTTTTAGGTTTACAGTAGTTTCCAAATGTTAAAAGCTTACATTAAATATGGAATTAAATTATGTAACAGAATATTTTAAACTGTGCGCGCAAGGTGGAAACATGACGAAAAATGTTGTCACAAAGCGGATTAAATTATAAAAATATTTGTGGCAACACAAACTTTCTGATGACTATTTCAGAAAGCAGCTATATTATGTAGTCAGCTGTAAAAAGTTGGAAGTAATTGCTTTTAAAATAAATAAGTTATCCCAATTCTTGCAACAGTCACCTATTCGAAGATCTTATGGATTTTAAGGTTTATGAGTTCCCTTAAAGCTACTTTTCTGTCCATCCTAATTTCAGCTTACAATTTCCTACCAGAATGGGTTTTTAGAATCGCGCGGAATGCAAATGAGTAAGAGTAGCATTTAAGTCGAAGTTCCACTGACTTCGATCGACAGCCTCAGAGTTTCTGACTACTGCGCGTTTGCCTTTTTGCTACCTGCCTCTAAGCTATTACTACCCTCGGCCGTATTACTGGGCCTTGATAGCTTCTCTAGCTTATTTGATATTTAGGAGCCAACTATTTAGAATTTTGATAGCCTCGGCTATATCTTTTTAGTCTTATTTCTTATTACTTTGAGTTCAAGCCCAAGGGGAGGCTTTGCTGTACGCCCTGAGAAAGGGACCGACTGTTAAATTCTTATTTTGAGGAATAAAGGGTAATAAACTCTTCTTGAGTTTACGTCTCTGTTCCTAAACTAAAGCGATTATTCGTTTAGCTGTTCACTATGCTACTCCCCATTTAGATGTTAGATAAAAGGGGGAGGGGCAACCCCACATCTTTTCTTTTTCTGAGTGTGTTATGCCCCATTTAGGACGTAATGTCTTATTTCCGTTAATATTTATTACACCATATCTTAATAAACTATCATAATATTCTTGCATTTATTGGGTCAGTCCATAAATTCGTGCGCATTTTTTGGTAAATTTTTAAATAATATAAAAAAAACACAATTTAACATTTTAATCAATTATATATTTTTCTCCATTATCTGTACAATTTCTCGCCATCTTACAGACAGCGTTTTTATGCCATTGCTGCAGAAAGACTGTGGTTTTGATGCAAAAATACTTGAAAGATCATTGTGTACATCCTGTTGTTTAGAATTTAATTTTTTTCCCAGTAAAAAAATTTTGTAAGGCACGAAATAAGTGAAAATCACTTCGGGCAATATCTGAAAAGTAAGCAGGGTGTGGCAAAAGCTCCCAATTAAATTCAGTAATTTTTTGCAGCGTTGTGCGAGCCGTATGCGGTGTAGAGTTATCACGATGAAAAAACACTTTCTTGATATTTCACCCATCGTGGGCGTTTTTTGATCCCTTCTGAGTTTAAAAAGCAAAGTTGTTCACTATAAACTTCTGAATGAATCGTTTGATTTGATTCTAACAGTTCAAAACGTCCTGGACGGGGTTCATCATCCATGCTGCTTTTTCCAACTTTAAATTTCTTAAACCATTTCTGGGCAATCCTTACACTAATAGTGTGTTCATCATGTACACCAAGGATGTCAAACTTGCGGCCCACAACAAATATTTTTGCGGCACGGCCAATATATCGGCAAATAATAATATATAATAATAAAATAACATATTGACAAAATAAAAAATGAAATGTTTACTTCTAAGTAATTAACGATAATTTATTGTGTTGTTAGATTACTCACAGCGAGCTGACACACACACTACTTAAATTACAAATGCGTGTGAGTAGCTTGCGTTCAGCTACCTTCGGCTTTTGGGGGACACGTGCACTCTGAACTTATAAGCATTCCCCGATAGCCGAATGTGGCCGAACTCAAGGTCTCAGTTTTCCAATCATAGTTTTGTACGATATATTGGTGCATGCATGTGCATGCACTTTGCTTTATTATTAATTATTACTTAATTCATATTGTTACGGATTTTCTAGTTATTTATTTATTTAGTTTTTTTATTTAGAATTGTAATTAGATTTGCTTCATGTTGCCTTAGCACGCAGACGATTTTTGAAAAGACAGCTGCGTTGGAAGGTTAAAAATAGAACAGCGCGTGCATTTAATACCTAATAAATAAATATCTCGTAATTGCTGTTGCCATCCACAAAAAATCCAGATATTTATAGATGTTTCCAGATATTCGAGAAATTAATTATAAAGCTTATAAAAGCCGAGAACAAACAACTCATCTCGGTAGTAGCTGTAGTTCTAGCGAACTGTTTGTTTACTTAATGCTGTGATTGATTTGTAGCGATTTCGCTGTGAGAAGAATTAGTTTCTCTGTTTTGAATTGATTTTTGCTAAACGTGCCTGAATTTTACAAATATTTACCAGCCAGGTTTGAAAATACTCGAAAATTCGCATATGAAATTATTTCCATGTTTGGTAGCACTTATCGGTGCGAGCAGTTATTTTCAGTCATGAAAGGTAATAAGTCTCCTATTAGAAACCGTATTAATGATGCTCACCTTGGGTCAGCGTTGAAAGTTATCACTGCAAACAAAAATTTCTCCGAAAGAGGAAAGATAATAGCGGAAAGAGATGTCTAGTATCAGGACCTAAACATTAAATTTTTCTTGTTCTTTTCTATATAAATATATGTTTATTATTGTATTATTCGAAATAAATCTGCGTTTCTATGAATATTGATTTTTTTTTTTTTTTTTTTTTTTTTTTTTTTTGCGGCCCGCCTAAAGTTAAACCTTGTTTGTTTGGCCCTATGATTACCTATGATTAAGTGTGCCTATGATTTTGACATCTCTGATTTACACTATTAATTTTTATCGCTGCAAACCTGGCAGATTCACCACACGAAAATAAAAAATGTAACACAGCACTTTTACACTTATTATCTATATTCATCTTCTATGGGTACTAAAATGCGTTCGATATTGACGAAAGGTGGTGATGAACTGATTAATATGTTAGTCAAACGTTGACAAGTTTCAACAGGTTTAAAATTGTATTGTTTTAGTAAATGCGTCATAGTGAATTCCACGCATACTCTTAATGCGCACGAAATTAGGGACTGACCCGATAATAAATGAAGTGCCAGAGGATAAAATGCAGCAGATTTTCCAGTTTCACGAATTCTAAAGTTTATGATTAAAACTAATTGCATGTAAATGACAGTATTCTGCTTGTTTATACTGATGATTTATTAATGATGCTATTCTATTATTTTTCTTTCTTAGAAAATTAAGAACTTTGTTTTCTGTAGCGTTGGTTGTGCAATCGTAACTTATTTTCATAATTATTTGTTTTTAGACGTTAAACTGATTCTTGATATGGGAAACGTCAGTTCGATGTTCGAAATTTCAAGTATGCGAAATCCTTTTGAGGGAGTGGGGTGGGTGGGTAATTTAAAATCTCTTTAAAAGTCTTAAATCTCTTTAAAAATCTTAAAGTTTTTAAATTAAAATTTAAAAACTTTAAAATCTCCGAAATATGTTTGATTTTGAAAAACCTGAATTTTGACTTTTACACATAACTTCTTTTATACGATCCTAAGAAATGTGCATTTTTTTAGCCTAATTCAAAACATTGAAAGCAGCCTATAACTGTAAGTAAGTCCAAAAAAAGGTAATTATACGGTTTTCAACGTGGGATGGAAGATACATTTGTTTTCCAGTTTCATACCAGTTTGCTTATTCCCGTAACTTATGAAAATATTTGCACTTTTTATATCCTGTTCTGTACAGTATATATAGTGTTTTATTAAACTTTGTTCCTCTATTTGTTTGGGTATAACCCTAAAATTCATTTTTGTCCGTTTTCTTACTGACTCAATGAGCGTGAAGTTTTTCATGTTGACGTATTTGAGTTCAGAATGCAATATCCGTCAAGAAGTATTTATAAAACTCGATACAGATTTCTTTATTTAGGACTGAATTTTTCTCATATAACCTCGTTTAACTTCAAATATATCACTGCATTTAAAAATTTTTATACCATCAAATAGATAAAAAAAAATTCCAAACGGAAGTTTTTCGGCATGTCTAACACGCTTTATGAATTATGGTGGTTTTTCCAACACTGTTCTTTTTCAATTACTGTTTAGTTGCTATTGATAATAGAAGTTTAAAAAGATTAAATCTTTTATAAATGAAATAGCAGATAGATAATAGAATTTTAAAAAGATTAAATCTTTTTAAAATTCTATTATCTATTATCTATCTGCTATTTCATTTATAGCAGCTCTACCATATAAAGTCACGATGAGATCCAACTGCTAACT